GGAAAGGCCTTGGGAGAGCGACCACCTGGAGCGAGATGACCCGGAGCAAAACTGACCCAGAACCAAAAAGGAGCCAATCTTCCGGAAGGTCCTCACCTATATACTGGGCATGACGTGTATGTTATGGAATAGATTACTGGCCACTTTGGGTCTCAGTCCTAAACCTGAGATCAAATCCTGGGCTAGTAACCGGGGCTGTGCTCCCTCCCAGCTTCTCCTGTTTGCAGACAGCCAGAGAAGCTGAAAGACCTTGGCAGCCGCATAAACATCGCTTTTTATCAGCTTTCTTCTGAGCACAAATCCAAAACACAACCTCTCGCTAGCTATGATGAAGAAAGTAAGCTCTGTCTCAGCTTAACTCAGGACACACTGTTTTATCAAAGAACCAGTTGCTGACCTGGAAACTGATGCCTGCCTTTAGCACAGGGTGATGCTGTCTGTGGCCGCTTTATTCTGAGGCTGCTCACACAGGTTGCAGTAGTGCACTGTGGACAAGCAGCCTGGAGGAATAAATAGGTCCCTGCTGAAACTCAAGAGAGTATTAGGTAAGCTCTTGGACGATGCTTCAGTGAAAGGCAGCAGCTGCTTTACCACTTTCTCTCCTGTGTTCTCCCATGGGCAGAGCCAGGACTCACACTCAGAGAGCCATGGGGCATGAGGCTGTCATCTCGCTTGCTCTGTGACCATGTTTTCTAATGGGATGTGGAACTGTTTCCCTAGGGAGCGGCGCTCAGAAGTTGAGGTCTATAAGTCAGCTGATGGCTTTCTGTGATGTGAGAGAAATATTAGTTCTGTGCTCAGTTCTTTATTTTCTATAAAAAAAATAAAAGAAAAATCTAAAAAACCCTAAAACCCACCACAGTACTAAGCACCAGCTTGCACTTTTTTTGGTGAGCTCACTGAAGATGGCAAGGGCTAAGCAGCTGATGTAATCACTGCCTCAATTTTCCTGTTATTTTATCGGATCTGGTGCCTCAGGTACTGAAGTGCATCGATGAGACAGTGAGGAAGAAACAGCCATACTCTTTCTCTTGTTCTGGCTATAAGTAGAGAATTTCAGTACTTGAGCTGTCAGTCCCACAGACTCCAAAAATTCACTCTAACCCACAAAATCAGAGTATGCGCCACTCTTTCTATGCAATAAATGCATTCTTTGCATGTGTTTAGAAACACATTTGAATAGCCATCTTTGTAGTGGTTTAACAGTGCGATTGCCTCACATCACATTATGCTTGAAGCAATTAGTGAATTTGCCATTCTAAAGAGGAAATGAAAATTCCCCTTGTAACAAAGCATCTGTCTTTTAGACTTCAGAAGGAGACTCCCAGGCCTTGACTGAAGTGGATCTGTTCATCTCCACGCAGAGAATCAAAGTTTTAAATGCAGACACGCAGGTAAGTTATGGTTAAAACATTTCAAGAATAATGTCAAATTAGACTGCGCTCTTATACTGTTAGTGTGAAGCTTTCCTAAATTTGGATAAATTCGCTGTTGTTAGAATATTCAGAAAGAGCAGTGTTAGATCTGCTATTGTTGCAACACTTGCCAATAGAGTAATACTGACACTAGTTTTGTTTATTTGATGTCATGGAAAATGTCTGCATGTTACTGCATTGTTCAATTTAGGAAAAGATTTCAAGTCTTTCAGAATGCATGTACACTGTTTCTCTGGAACAGTTTCAGTACCCAGATTTATGGTCTAACAGGGAAGTAATTTGCTGCTTTGACTAGCTCTTTGCATCTTGACATTTTTAAAATTTAACCTCCAATTTTTGTATAAATCACATCTGAGCTGCCATCTTCTTTACTTAAGGTAAAGTATTAATTATTCATATTAAAGAAGCATCTGGAGACCAGCAATGGTCAGCCTCATCTTCTAGGAATACATAAATATATTCAGTAACAGGTGATCTTCATAAGAAGGATTTTTATTTAAGGAATTTACAATTAAAATACATATCATTTATACATGGATCCCAATATTTAATATAATAATCTCACAAGATCTCTTAGACTTTGATCATACTTTGAGAAAGTCTTTACATGTTCATTCTTATGCGAGGCTTTGAAAAGGGAAACTTTTGTGACATTTTTTGCTTTAGTTTCACTAAAAAACTCTGTATGCAGCTAACAGCAGGTGACAAATGGTAAGACTTTAAGTTACATTAAATAACAAACCATTTAGAAAGGGCTTAGTTAAGCTAGATATAGCAAAACCAGAAAATTAATCTCGTAGTATTTGGAAAAAATGTTTGGAGCGTCCTTATGCTATCCTTTCAATGGTACTTTTCCAGAACTCAGTAAGGTAATATTCAGCTTTTGCTTTTTTTTTTTTTTTTTTTTTTTTTTTGGTAGCAGAACAGACCAAGGATTATGAGTACAATTAACTGTCAGAAAGATAGCAAAACAAACAAACCCTCTGTAGGCAGTTTGTGAGTGGAGATGAGCAAGTGTCAGCACAGATTTGTCAAAAGTAAATCATGTCAAATCAATAATTTTCGTTTGTGACGGGGAATATATTTGACCATGGCACAGAAGCAGCACACATCACCTATTGACTTCAATAAGGCTTTTATCTCATGTAGTATTTTCTAGATTATATGATCTAGATAAAAGAGGTACAAGCAGGCTAAAAAAATTTCTGAGTGTACTTATTTCTGATATATTGCCATATAGATGGCAATGTAAAGATAACCATGTAAAGAGATAAAGAGCAGAGGGAGACTCAAAAGCATGTTTCTTCGACGTAGTGCTGTTCAATATTTTCATAAACAACTTGGAAAATGGAAAGAAAATGTTTATGGACTTGTATCTTGGTGTATAAGATCAGAGTTCAGAAACGCTATGGCTAACGAGAGAAATGAGCTGAAACTACAGGAGATATTTCAATAAAGACAAATGCAGCACTCTACATTTACAATTTGTTCTGTTTTCAGTTAGCATATAATATATTTTTTTAACAATGCAAACCATCAGGCATCTAATTCTTCCTGAAATTTGAGAGAGTGTTACTATCTTTTAATGTGAAGGTAGAGGTAGTGTCTCCAGTAAATGGATTATTTTTCTTTTAGCATAAGCATATGTCCTCAACGTTCCACTATAATTCCCACGAGATGAAGCCAGATGAGGAGAAGAATATCCCATCTAACATGGGCAGCAGTATTTACAATCTGCCATCCATAAATTGTCCTGATACTGCATTTCATCCATGATAACCAATACCACTGTTTGTTATGGCTCAGCCTTTTTTTGACCTAATGGTAAACATGCATCATCTAGAGAGTATATTATCAGAGCTTATGACTACTTTTTGCATTAGCAGAAAACAAAATGCGAGTAATTATCAACGTAAAGATGACTACAGACAATTATTGATAAATTAACAGCTACAGTTTATAGTTGGAATGTATGGCAGTAAACAGATAAGTTCTATTTGCTGAGTAAGTATTAGTCTTAGTGGAAGTTACACTTTCCCTTCTTTAAGTAGTTCAGCATTTCAGCTAACACCAACCTTTTAAAAAATAAAAACGGAAAATCCTTTGAGGAAGACCATAAACACTTTGTCAAAGTAATTCATCTTATTCTTCTGATTCCCCTAAGATTTCTAGTGATATAAAATGCAATGCATTATGAGGAATGCTGCATTGCATGAGCTGTTCAACTAGATTAAAATAGCAATATTGGAAATTATTATAATTACAAGCTCTCTGGCATTTGCCTGGGTCCCCTTCCCCTTTTCCCTTTTCCCTTTTCCCTTTTCCCTTTCCCCTTCCCTTTCCCTTTCCCTTTTCCCTTCCGTTCCCTTCCCTTTTTCCTTCCCTTCCCTTTTTCCTTCCCTTCCCTTTTTCCTTCCCTTCCTCCCTTCCCTTCCCTTCCCTTCCCTCTTCCCTTTCCCCTTCCCTTTCCCCTTCCCTTTCCCCTTCCCTTTCCCCTTCCCTTTCCCCTTCCCTTTCCCCTTCCCTTTCCCCTTCCCTTTCCCCTTCCCTTTCCCCTTCCCTTTCCCCTTCCCTTTCCCCTTCCCTTTCCCCTTCCCTTTCCCCCCTTCCCTTCCCTTCCCTTCCCTTCCCTTCCCTTCCCTTCCCTTCCCTTCCCTTCCCTTCCCTTTTTCCTTTCCTTTTTCTTTTCTACAGTGGGTCTGTAAGAGACTTACTCCCACGATTTTTTTGCATTGCTGCCCGCATGCTTTTGCATTTTTTGGCTTGGTAATATTTTTCAGTGCTAGTGAAGTTTTTTGACTGGTGTAATTACCATAGGTCTATTTCAGCTGGTGTGGCAGCTGGCAGAGACAATCTGTTCTTTCATGGCTTTATCAATTATATAAAACCTGCTTCTGCAGTGTGCCATCCATGTTTTAATCCATCTGTAGTGCTGATAGCTCACATGAGGTAGCAGCTGATTTAGAATGTAAAATTTTAATTTAAAAAATGACATGAACTCTGGTTCAAAATGATGATTCACACCAGTAAGGTGTATTGCTGGTTTGATGACTGGTTCCTTAAAAATCTTCTGACTCATTAGGCTAAGTCACACTCCCCCAGGACTACATCACTTGACAGCTTGGAAAAATACTTAGGTTTTCCTCCTTCAGGTCTTCTTTGGGTTTCAAGAAGAAGAACAACAAATGGGATTCTAAGAGAGTTCCTTAGAAAGGAAGGGAGATTCTAAGAAAGGGAAATCTGGGACAGGGGTTTTGAAAAAGGACAAGAGAGAGGCATTTCTAAGGACAAATATTAGGATAACAAGGATGGAATGGATGGATGGGACTAGAAAACAGATGAGGGAGAGAATACAGAAGCACATGGGCAGAGATGGAGTGGTTCATGGCAAAGTACCCAAGGAGGAGAGAGGGTGAAAATGAGATAATGGTAAGGGAAAATAGAGTGAAATGGAATGTGGAATGAGAAATGGAAAAGTCAAGTCATGAGTAAGTCAAAAGTAGAGACATGTTTACAGTCACCATATGTATTTCCTCCTGGTAATTGCATTAGATGGGAAAAAGGTGGGAGGAAGTGGGGGAATGACTGCTTTCACCCCTAAAAGGGGAAAATTAAAAAAACCCCAACACTTTGAGTAATTTCCATGGGATAAGGACAGAAAGACTTTCTTGGCAGATGAGATTAAATGCATTCATTTTCCCAGTCCACTCACTCTTGGGCACTCCGCATGTGTGATTACACCCTTACAGAATATCTACTGCAGACTGCTGAAAAGCAGTTATCTCTGCAGAGCTCCCAAGATCCTGCTGAGAGATGTCCATTATAAAACATTTTTCCATACTGAGAGAAGTGCCATAAATCCTCCTGGACCCCTGCAACCCTTAGAGACACCCTCCAAACCATCTCTTAACCATCATTTTTCATAGTTTAGGGATAAGCATAGAACATTTTATTTCAAGCCTGAGAAGAATCATTACAATAATTTTATGGGTCGTGACTCTCTTCAGTAAGACAGGTGGTTCTAAGAAACAATGATTATTTATATTTTTCTCTCTCTGTCACGTTAAATTGTACTGAAAGTCATTTACTCTGGTTGACTTGAGGAACAATCTTTCTCTCTTAGGCCTTAGAGATTTGTTCAACTAGTGGTAAATTAATACATAGCTGTTTACATAAAGGATGCTGCTGCTTGTGTAAGTGATTAAAATTGTGGTTTTTTGGAAGATCAGATATCAAGGGAAGCTCTGCCACTACAGCCACAGCAAGGAAGGCATCTCAGTCATCTAATATGATTGAGTTAGATGAAAACTGACCTCATGCTGCTCAGTGGAATATTCCAATACATATCAAGAGCCACTAGCAAATAATTAAAAAAAAAAAGAAAGAAAAACAAAAGGCCTTTGTAGTTAAAAAAAAATACAACAAACCAAACATCAAACCTGTAGTCAATTTCCCTTTCTTCACATTAGAAATACCCATGTATATATCCAAGCAAATGCCAAAAGCAGCAGAGACAACCTCAGTCTTGGTCAAGAACAAAAGATATTTCAGACACCAGAAAGCAATTTACTGACATAAACCTCATAGAGATTACAAAGTGAAAGAAATTGATTCAATAATAAGTATTTCTTTATTCCAGTTCAGGCAGAATTTGGTGGATGCTTTTAGCTGCTTGGGGTGTGGGGGGACAATGACACATCTTCAGCTAGTTTGATCAATAAAACTATTACGCTTCTGGTTGGTTCCAGTTTGAACAATAAATATAAGTCTAGAAAACCCTGTAAACCGACCCGTGACCCCAGCAAGAAGATTTTTTCAGATGGGCCCTTTCTGTTTCTTAAAGAAGAGAACAGTTCATTTCTAAATGGCAAAATTTGTAAAGAAATGTTAGAAAACAAAGCCAACAAAGCATGGTTTGGAGGCACTTTTTTGGCCTTTGCATCAATAGAAAGCTTTATCTTAATTAAAATAGGTACTTAGCATAAGGGTTCAAAGTAAGCAGCATCCAGTTTAAGAAACCTATAAAGCTTGGTTTTCAAATGTCCCATAAAAACAGTATACAGTCCTTTAATGTCTCCTCAGGAAAAAAATGTAAATCATCATGGGCTTAAAATATTGTTTTATGGCTTCTATGGGTCCTTATAGCTTGGCTTTTTCTAATATTTTGTCTAAACTATCAAAATATCTGCCAGATAAGCATTACTAACAGAAGTTATATTACCTTTTTTCCCTAGGAACTTATCTTCCTCTGGAATTATACACAAACTTCAGCAATAGTGATTTTTGCAAGACACTTAGAGGAAGTACAGTCAATCAGATTACTTGATTGTATAAGCATTCCTAAAACTCTCATTGTAAACCTAAAAGATTCTTATGGTAATGGAACAGCTTCCATAGCAACATGCCTTTCTGGGAACTTAGAGAAGTTGTGCCTTTTTATTTATTTTTATTAAAAAAAAATAAAAACACAGGAGAAATCAGGTTGCTTATATTATATGTTGAATAAAACCTGCATGAAGGTACCAATAATTGTCTAAAACATTAGTGTAATCAAATATGTAATTCTGTTTGTCTTTGCAGTCCTAAATACATCAAAATCCTTTGAAATTATCACTGTAGCAATGTCACATACATTGTTTTACTAAAATAACATTATTTTACATATAGAAACCTTTTAATGAAAATAAGACTGCTAGCTGTTGAGCCACATTCATTATTTGTATGTAATGCTGAGTTCAGAAATAATAAAAATTACTACAAGTTCATACTTAGTTGTGCACAGAAACTGTTATAAAATGTCCTTGAAGGTTCTTCCTTCTGGGAGTGCACTGCTCTTTTATACAAGAAACAATTGATAGAAGCATGAACTGCAGATGGAAACAAATGATAAAATAGTAATATCTGAAATAAAACATCCTTCTCTGACTACAAATACAACTCAGTTTTCATTTGTTCAAGGCGACTTAATACTTAAAGCCACTGAATAATAATATATTCCTGTGACAAAAACATTTGGAAGGTTGGGATTTCCCTGCTAATAGCAGAAAGTAAAATAAGAGTTTAAAAGGCTAAAGTAACTAAAAAGATGCAGAGCTCAGGGATTTGATATAGAGACAGGAAGTTTCAAAACTTTTTATATTTAGTGCTCTTCATGGTGTTCTTACATGAGAAATGTTCATTAGGATGAAGCTTGGACAGGCTTAAAATCATTGTCACAGGCAACGGCTCTTCCAAGTTGAGTTCTCCCAGCACACCTGAATTGGCAGCCTCATGACATTGACTGGAATAGGAGTTTGACTGTGATCCCAGACACTAGACCAATTACCTACAAATTGATCTGAGGTATGTAGATAGCCAGAAAAAAAGTTTTAAAAATTCTGCCTACAGAAAAGATGGAATACTGCCTTCATAGCTTTCTGAAAAGAAAGAATTGCTTTGCTGTATATAAGAAAATGTTACCTTAGACATTATTGCTATTATAGGTCATGATTTTAAAAAAATCGGGAAATTCTAACATTTTCTCATATACATATTACTTCCCTAAATCTTTTTCTGTCATTGTGATATGCATCTGCTTCTTTCAGCAAAACCAATACAAAAGGGAAACATAATTTTCCACCAGCATGAATACATTTATAAACCATTAGTATAGACCTTCATTATTGCTTTACAGTAGCAACCATGTTGTATTTGCCCAGGCAACTCTTCCAATGAAGCCAATTTCTTGAACAGGCAGTATGCCTTCAGCTGGGGTTCGGGCCCATTGACTGCGTAGGGAATGTCAGATCTGGACCCACAGAAGGTGCATCTGTAGCTTTTTTCATTCTCGAGCAATAGGCCTTCCAGGAGAGGGAAGATGCAACATTTGTAGAATAACAGCAGGCATAAAAAATTACTTTATTTCTCTTTGCTTTATGTAGGAAACGATGATGGATCATGCGCTGCGCACAATCTCGTATATTGCCGACATTGGTAACATTGTGGTTTTAATGGCACGGCGCCGCATGCCAAGATCAGCTTCTCAGGACTGTATTGAAACAACACCTGGTGCCCAGGAAGGAAAGAAGCAGTACAAAATGATATGCCATGTCTTTGAATCAGAGGATGTAAGTAAATTGAAATAAATTTATTTAAACAACATAGGTTGTTTAGAGAATCTCTGAAATTATATCTGATTTCTTGAATGAACTTTTGTTGTCAATATCCTTTTATGATTGAAGCTACAGGCAATCTGTGGAAACATTAGCCAGTTTGTCCATGTTCATATCTCTTTTCTGTTTCCACAAATTCATGTCGCAAATTCACGTCTCCTCCTCAGTCCCTAAATATCTGCTCTTTGTCTCATGTGTTATAGAATCATTTGTATTCTTTTCAATAATGCTTCCACAAGTGCTATAGTACCTAATTATTTGGAGTTATCTGGAAGCCAATGGCTATTCATGGCTGAAATTAATTTATGGAGTATCAAATTGATCTTTCATCCTGGATTGGATCCTCTAGTCTGGTGGGTGGGCACACACACATAAGCCTCCAGCAACTTGACAATATGGTGGAACCATTCTGGACGTCTTTCAAACTGAAGCCAAGTTGCTGACAACATCTACCAACTTAGTGGGCCTGGCACAAGGTTGCCCTCTACCTAGTCCTTATTCCCTTATGGCTTACTTACCTGTATTTGGTATACATACTCCCGAACATGTGACTTGATCCTTTCATGTCTAAGAACACATTCAGCTCTTTATTTTTCTGTTAGCTTTGTTCATTCCTAACAAAGATTATGAATTAGAATTTTTATACAAGTGCAATAGAGCTAAGAAAGTTTAGTTCTCTATATTTATAGAAATTTTTTTTTCACAGCCAGAAGACTTTGGCAATTTTTAAGTAAAAGGCTAGGAAGAACTCACTCTCCATACTTTCTCAGAACATCTATACAACAGAAAGTATAATTTCAGTCATTTATGCCATAAAATAGTCTGAGATCCAGTACCATATTAGCCTTAAACCACTTTTTTTTATAATTCCATTTAAAAAAGGAATGACTGCTTCAGAACTTAGGTTCTAATTTTCACTTCCATCAGAAATACCAAAAGGTGAAAGAACTTGGAGACATTCTCAAAATTGGATTGCAGAAATAGTGGTTACAAAAGAGTTTTGTACATCTTTGCTGCATCTTGTTTCACACTTTTGAAAAGTGCTGGCATGCACCTTACCTCTTGTGGCAAAGGAAGGTAACTGCTATTGTACATCCAGGTTTGTTTTTGTAGCGAAATAGGTATTTGTGTCTGAAGTGGCAGACCAGTGAACTTCAACCTAAAATGTTTATGGAAAAAGATTCCAAGCTAGCAAAACAAAAGAAGCAAAATCTTGTTTTGTATTTCTAACTTGACAGTTGAGATATAGGTATTAGTAATAGGCAGTACTAAATGTTTCCAACCATCATTACATAGCTTTAAATATAGTTTCTGTCATACTAACTAAAAAAGAATTGAGTTCTTTGGGTCAGACAGTCATAACTCACAGGTTGCATATTTTTTGATCTAAACTATAATAATTTTCATTATTTTAAAGCAATTAAGCCTATGAAGGAGAAATAGCATTGTCTAAAGGTTAGAGTGCTAGATTGTTCTCAGACCTAGTATCCCAGGTCTGCCACTGCTTTGCTGGTGTGACCTTCTCAAGCAACTTAATTACATTACCTCTAAGTGTACATGATGCTGAAGACTTTACTAAACATTCATAAAAACTTGGACAGATAGATGAAGTTAAGATGTGAGAACTGGCTGTTACTAGCAGTAATAGAACAGAACACGACATCCAGACATGTTGGGTTTTCAGAATGTAGAATGGAGGCAAAAGCAAAGGACTAACTACAGAGAAAGCAATGGCACTGGAGGTCAAAAAAAGTCGTCACTAAGGACTGGTGATTTTAACAATGGAACGATATAAGAATGTTCTTGATGACATCTGTCCTATCGTACTACTACAAGCCTCTTGGCATATTTGTTAAGATTTGAAAAAATGTTTTAAAATATGAAGGAACCATTTGTGATTGGTTAGGCTAATTATGTCCTTGATTTTCTAAAATAATTTTCCAATCAGACAGATTGGTGCTTTTGTGTACTGCAGCACAAATAAAATAAGAAACCAACCTTTTGTCATGAAAGAAAACACTCTGTATCTGATCGGTAGACTGCAAGAAGATTTAGATGTAGAATGTTTTCCAGAAAACCCTGATGCGTTCATAATGCATTTAGTGTGTACCTACAGTCCAAGAAAGTGTGTGAGATTTCCAGAACAGTTCTACAGGTTTGATTAGTAATATTTTCAGGGAGTTACATTGTAAGATGCAATTAACAACGCCTCAGATCATTGCGAGTTACTCATATCCCCTGGTGACAGAATACAGTACATGAAAACCACAAATATATGAAACTCAATGTGAGCTGCAGTAAACTCAGAATAGGAATTTTCTCAAAATACAATTGTGAGCCAGCAGTGTGCCCAGGTGGCTAAGAAGGCCAACGGCATCCTGGCCTGCATCAGCAATAGTGTGGCCAGCAGGAGCAGGGCAGGGATTGTGCCCCTGGTGAGGCCGCACCTCGAATCCTGGGGTCAGTTTTGGGCCCCTCCCCACAAGAAGGACATTGAGGGGCTGGAGCGAGTCCAGAGAAGGGCAACGGAGCTGGGGAAGGGTCTGGAGCACAGGGCTGACGAGGAGCGGCTGAGGGAGCTGGGGGTGTTTAGTCTGGAGAAGAGGAGGCTGAGAGGAGACCTCATCACTCTCTACAGCTGCCTGAAAGGAGGGTGCAGTGAGGGGGGTGCTGGGCTCTGCTCTAAAGGAACAAGTGATGGGACAAGAGGAAATGGCCTCAAGTTGCGCCAGGGGAGGTTTAGGCTGGATATTAGAAAAAATTTGGCATTGGAACAGGCTGCCCAGGGAAGTGGTGGAGTCACCATCCCTGGAGGTGTTCAAGAAACGTGTTGATGTGGTGCTTCAGGACATGGGTTAGTGGGTTGGGTGGTGTTGGGTTGACGGTTGGAGTTGATGACCCTTGAGGTTTTTTCCAGCCTTAATGATTCTATGATTAACTATGATTAGGAAAAAAAAAATTCAAGTGTAGAAAAAGTTGACTGCAAATTCCTTTTACTTTCCTCCACCTCTTTCTCGGTGTTCCAGTGCCATATATGGAACAGAAAGTAAATTTTACAGCACTTCAGTAATTCTTTAATGAGTTGGCTTTTGCAGTGTGCTGAATGTGCAAAGCTGTTTATGTTATCATCGTAATTGTTGGTTTCTGTAGATTTCTTTCTAATGTATATATACTTCTGATCCAAATACCAGTCACTGTAATGGGAAGTCATCTTCTATTGCACACTGTAGTAAAATGCTAGCACAGGTTAAGTGCTCCAAAAATTAATAAAGACATGGGATTTTGAAGAGTTGTTCTTAACATTAACAAGGTGTAATAATGGCTCTGGCTGCGTTCTTGAAAGCGTCCTTGACATTGCTAGTCAAGGTGTTAATGGGTATAGCTATTGTAGATGTGCAATGGGTAAGTAGGGCTATTACTGGTTTGCTGGGATTATGAGACAAGTATCGTGGCAGCAATAGGGAGCAGATGGTTTTGTTGAAGTAGTGTTTTCAGTCCAGTGAAATGAAGGTGGAGAACCAGCAGGTGACACGACAACCAAAATCATCAGTGCATATGTGTCTGTGAAGGCACGTGCAAACAGAGCATCCGTCCTCTCACCACTCCTGCAAGTATACCGTGATCAGAAGCAGGGTTTCTGACAATCTTTTCTGTAAGCTCTGTTTCATATTGGTACAAAGCCAGTACTCGCCAGTGTTTACTGGAATGAAATACATAAATAGCATATGGCTGCTTGCTACTGCAATGTACTGATGAACAGAAATCAGCAGGGTTTTTAAATTGAGTTTGCATTTGATTTTGGATGTAATGGATTCTTTCTGTACAACTGACCTTAAAGTGGCTTCATATCCATACTTACGTAGCAACTTTGCAGGATCCTTTATTTCCACTCTGTCTTAAAATCCAGTCATCCCTCTCTTGTTTCTTATGGTTTCAGTCGTTTTTTTCAGTCCTTTCTGAGCTGTGTTTTGTTCTACATTCTAGGCACAGCTGATAGCTCAGTCGATTGGTCAGGCTTTCAGTGTGGCTTACCAAGAGTTTTTAAGAGCCAATGGAATTAACCCAGAGGATCTCAGTCAGAAAGAATACAGTGACATCATCAATACCCAAGAGATGTACAATGATGATCTCATACACTTTTCCAATTCAGAAAACTGCAAAGAGGTAAACTAGTTTTGGAATTGCATTTCAGATTGATCCATTTTTTTCAGAAGAATGTTGTTGTCATGGAAGTAGCTTTTGGCATTTTAAGGATGTCTTTACATCTCAAGATGTGTTGCCTTATCAATACTGTGCTACTAAAATCAGCTTTGTAAGTTGTTAGAATTTCTTCCTTTCATTTCCAGGGTCTTTCTGCTCCCATTGATCAAAACAGTAACAAAGTACATTCACATCTGACACAGATAAGCTCTGTGCTGTTCAAGGACACAGCGTAAGGTGTTTTTATGTTTTACTAATGTATTGATACAGAAGGAGAGATGACAATCCATTTTAATGCACGTTGTAAGTTATTTCTTACTTAATAGCTACAAGGCCCACAAGTCCAGGTTTCTGTGGCACTGAGCAGGCCATTTCTCTTCCTGCTACTGCCACATGAAATGGAGTTTCACACTCATGAAGGATCAAAAGGCAAGAATTTCCCTTAAGTGCCTCAAATTACATAAGCGTACCTATTTACATTTATGAAATAGACAAATACTTCACATTTTGCACCCAGTTTCTGCTTTGTCCGATGCTGCTGCAGTGTGATAGGGATTTGGCCCATGTTCCAGCGGTCAGAGTTTCCATGCTGAATCCTAAAGAAATCTTACTTTGAAATGAATTGCAAATTGCTTAATCCTTCAGTCGCAGCTTTCCTACTGATTTCTTCTAGTGTCACAGGTTCTTTTGTACAGCATGTGTGTTCTTGGGAAGAGAGCATTTTTTACCTGTACCTACAGGTGGAAAGGTTATGATTTGAGGTGCAGATGTATACATCCGCAGTCACTAGATATCAATAAAGTGTTTTCATGCACACATAAGCGTGACAAAATATTTCTCTCATAGCAAACAAGGGACAATTCAGTTGAACAAATCTTGGTTTGATTTAGAATTGGATCGGAAAAATACAAATGTGTCACATTTCAAGGTCATTATTTTTGTGGCACCTTTATTTCATTTTGGTTTATGAATGTTTGAATAATGACAGAATTGTGGCTTACTGGCTGGTTCAGAGCCTTGATAGCTTTGCAACAAAAGTCAGCTGGCCTTCTTGATTGCCACAAGTACGGATGTCCCTGTCATTCCATATTTGAAAGAAAATAATTCCCAGTATTTTGTTAAAGAGTATGTTCTCTATTTAAACTTTATTTCTCTTATGTAAGAGTTAGATATACTATGGTTACTGAACAGTTAACATCATGATATTTGAGAGGTCATTTACATTACATCAGCACATCAGGGATCTTAGATTAACAGGCTAGGCACAAATATATTCAATAATGTTAATAATAATAATGTTAATTATAACAACAACAAGAATAATCAAGAGATCCTTGCCTGAAAATAGGGAGAGACAAACCCTGAGAGACAACCCAAGCAGTGATGGCAGAAGTGGAGCTGAACTCAAGCCCGAGTTCCCGGCATTGCCTTAGGCACAAAATGTTACAGCCTCCCGTAGCTGCCAGGTTCCAAGAAGGATAAAAACTTCTTTGGTATTCATTCATTGGGTATTCAGTTCCACCATTTTCTATAGATTTAACTAATGTGTTAAGTTTTTTGCCTATTATAAGGACCTCTATGACCTTCAACAAACAAGTAGAGGATACCCCTGAAAAGAAATAGGTATGCATTATACAGTTTTAACAGCGGTATTGAAGTCATGCTACTACCTAATAGCAAAGAATAGAATTATTTTTGTAATTTGTGTTATTGAGGAACAACTGACATGGTAGTGCTCAAATTAGATTAATCAAAGCAAAAAAATTTTTTTGTGTTGTTTTGTTTTTTTTTAATTGCAGCTCCAGCTAGAAAAACAGAAGGGAGAAATTCTTGGGGTAGTGATTGTGGAATCTGGATGGGGATCCATACTACCTACCGTTATCCTGGCTAACATGATGAATGGAGGCCCTGCAGCCCGTTCAGGAAAACTAAGCATTGGAGACCAAATTATGTCCATTAATGGGACCAGTTTAGTTGGTCTACCTCTTGCAACATGCCAAGGGATCATAAAGGTAGCCCAAACTTACAATTGTATGCTGTAGATTGTAAGCCAGCAGAGATATAATATATATTCTGACAAACCACCCTGTAGATTTCCAGCAGATAATGATTTTTCGTATCACTGAAAAAAAAAAAAAGTAATCTGTCATTAACAAAAAGTAGAATTAGAAACAGAGATTAAGGGGTGATAGTGTGCAGAAATTTAGGGCTGGAGAATTAGACTGCAGCTTTGTTACTGGACTATAACAAACAAGGCCAGGTCTGAAAAACTTGCCTAAATGAAGTTACTTAGCTATCTTCAAAGTTTCAGGCTTCCTCACAGCCTCCAAATTAAAATCTCAGGATTAAAGTCTACTCTGCTTCTTTGGACTCCCTGGAGATGAAATGGATGGAGGCTGGTAGGCTGCAGTACAAATTCAGTGAGTACATGAAGATTCCCCAGACACGATGGAATCTCAGAATGCATTATCTTTAATCACTGAGACTACATCTCATGTCTGTGCAGATTTACCAAGAGCAGCAGCAGGACAGTCATTAGCCAGATGCTGGTAAAAGGCAACCAGTAGTTAGTTTTAATTTCTCTTGAAAAATGTATTGAAGCTTCTATAGTAGTAAAAAGCAAAGTTTTAATATGTTTTGTTGGGCCAAACAGCTTAGGAAATAAATGAAACAGAGAAACTTATCTCTCAGTTAACAACAGATTTCTATTAACTCTAGCTGTTCTTTCTCAGATAAGCTGCTTTACACTCCTGCAATTAGGAAACCACTAATGAAAGAGCACAATAAGATCCATTTCAGAAATATTAACTTTTGGAATATCTTACAGGGTCTCAAGAATCAGACACAAATAAAACTGAACATCGTCAGCTGTCCTCCTGTTACTACTGTCCTCATAAAACGGCCAGACTTAAAATACCAGCTGGGCTTCAGTGTACAGAATGGAATTGTAAGTTTCTGTGTTCAGTGATTGTTTTGGTTTGGTTTTTTTTTTCTTTCTTTTTTTTTTTCTTTCCAGAAACACTGAGGTACTGAAAAAATCCTTGCATATGACCTCACTTTTTGTACTGTGATCCCTTAAGTAATCAAAACCTTATAATCGCATCACTGAGTAATACAATGCAAGGAGAACAAGTGCTACCATTCTTGAGGGATTTTCCTACCTAATAAAGCAACAAGATCTATAGTCCAGATTGTTTGCTGCAACATCTAGATCAGCTAAATCATGCATAACTCTGTCATTAGTGTGCCAGAGTTGCAAGGAAAACAGTTATGCTGAAATGGGTTTTTACAATTATAACATTCTAATCTTAGCTCTGACCCTGTTTCCTTTTTTTAAATTTCAGCACACACTCACCAAGACACTTGATTTTTCTTCTGCTGTGCATAATTTATTTGGATCGCATGGTAGCGGGCAAGGGAATGTAACTGTGACCTCCTCTGGTTAAAACTAGACATCTCTTACTACAAGTCATTGTTTAGGTTGTGGCCCAGGTATCCCTTCTCTGCATGCTGCAGCTTCCCTTTAGTAGTAGCAGCAAACAGGAGAATTAATGTGGCAGGTAACACTTACCCAGTGCAACTCAGGGGCCCCCCTCTCGTAGTTCTTCCCCAGCCATTCTCCGATACCTTTCCAAAGCAAACTCCCAACACAACTAGCTCAGGTAGTCACTTGGCCTTTCTGGGGGCTGATACTAGCATTAGGGTCTGTCTGTAACGCAGGACCATCACCATTTCCTCTTCCTTCAGTCTAGGAAAAAAAAAAATTATCAGGCTGCTTCCACAGAAAACCGTATCACAAAGGACTGTGGGCTCTGGTCCCCTGTTCTGTGAAACTCATGGATTGAAGCTGCCAGGTTTCTGTTTGCCACCCTTGGAAGAGTAGCAGGTAACTCTACAGGATATGGTTTATGGGTCTGACTGTGCTTCAGCAAACAGATAGCTCATTAGTGGATTTTCAGCTCTGCTAGCCATCTCTAATTTGTTATTGTACCTAAGTTTTAAGTGCTCCTACCTAAGCCCACGTACCATGTTGTAGTCACAGCAGAGAAGAACGCACTGCAAGCCTTGGTCCAGCTGGAAGCACTCTGAAGTGATACCTATGCCAGGCTGACATCCTTTAGAAGCAGAGGTTTAAAGTATTTGTCATGTGTGGGATATTTCTGTCCTCTTTTGTCTGTGCTTATTTCCCTTTCACCTAATGTGTACTTTAAGTGAGTATAGTTATTGCTGGTAGTTAAGTCTGTGTTAGCAAATCCCAAGTCTTGGTATAAAAAGGATGAAAGGGATGGGATCTGGTTTTACACGATCTCACAGAGAGTGCTGAGAACAGCATATAACACTGCATGACACATTGATTTATTTCCTAATTGCTATCCTTTGTAAATGTAGTCTGTTCAGCTGGTGCTAGGATAAAAAGAGGAAAATATATTTAAGGAACAATGAAAAATACTCCGGTGTGTTCATCAACTCTTTTAGGCGGCCTCCCATAGCATTGGTGGGGCTTGGTTCAGGGCTGGGGAAGAGAATCAGGCCAGGGTGGATTAGAAGCAGCATATCATGTCCTCACAGGGACAGAGGCAGTTCTGGAGCCTGTGAGACAGTCTATTCGCCTTCTCTCAGCTAATCATCTCCTAGAGAATCGGAGCCTTAGTTTAGTAAATTCTGCGGACTGTGGTTGTTTTCTTTCCTAGCATGCTCACTCCATCTACTGGTCATTTGTAATTTTCACCACTGGATGGTCAGAATTCATGCCGGTTCAATGAGCAACATTTAGATGACAGCCAATATAAAGTTTACCAAATTCAGCATAAAAGTCCTTCTCAGACAACAAAAAAAGAAAGCCTTGTAATACATTTCATTTATGAAGAGTCTGTGCTTGAATATGAAAGCCAACGAACAACAGGAGAGAGTAACACCTTTTGTTCGGCTGCTGTATAGAGAAGCTTCTGGGCTGTACGGTCCTTCCTCGGATAAACTCTCTCTTACTTCATTTAACATCTGAAAATATGACTCTGCAAAGTACGTCTCTCCAGTAATTTGACACTGAACTTTTCAAAAGGAGTTTTGTAATTGCCAGCAATTGTTACATATTATGACAGGATTCAGAAAGAATATCCTTTCTTGCCTCAGCATTAGCACAGTGAAGAAATACACAGCTTACTAGAGCGGGTATAATTCAATGTCTCCTACTGCTATGCCATTACCTCACTATGCGTGCAGCTGGTACTTCTTGCTGTGCCTCCTCTGACAGCAGCTTTGCGGTGGTTGCTTTTCACTCTGTCTCATCTATGCAGGACATACAGCTGTGAATAGACCATAAACAACCTGGACATAGAACAGGACTAGCTGAGCTGGGTTTTGCTTGCAAAAGAAAATCAGAAAGATGCAGAGACTGGGCTGCTTTGCACATTCTGTATAGTTTAATTAATTCAAAGCCTGAAGTTGTGCTTTATGGAGCAATAGTAGTGACAGCTTTTGGAAGTTCTAATTAGGGACCAGCACAACAGTATCAATCTGAGTGTTAATTTTGCACTATTCATCTTGCACTAATGATGCAAACACTCTGCTTGAAAGCTACTGATGTAATTTCATTGCATTTTTATAACAGGAATCTAAAACCTGTAAAACATTAAGGCAAAAAAAGAAATATTGTGCATACATGTGAAACAAGTATGAATGTTGTGTGATGAGAAGGTGATGTATCGGCCACCCTCTGAAAATTATTATGCTACACGTCTTTTAAAATCATGATATTTAAATACAAGTGGTCCTTTTGTTTCCTAAATTATGAAAACTTGTGTATTACTAGTTGTATGTTTACTGCTGATAAGGCACCACTTCTGAGTCTAGATCTCAGAGCTCAAACACTTTCTCTGAGAAGTGTATCCACCCCATCCCTAAACTAGGACAAACTAGGTAAAACTTAACAGGTTTATTTTCTTCCTTGCCTTTGTTTACATTTATTTAAACTGTCTGGGGAAAAAAATGTACAGGGCTTAAATCAAATAATGTAGGAGTGAGATGAGGAGAAACCTGGTTTAATAGGTTATGTTTAAGGCATTTACACAGAATAAACTGTTTGCCTTACTGTTCTATCCTTAATGCTTTGCGATAAAACTGATTGTGAAGCTACATGTGATGCTTGACATTGCAGAATCTGTAACAGCTGAGTGGATTGAACCAGTATGGCTTCCACCTTTCTTTTTTTTTTTTTTTTTTCCTTCTTTTTTTCTTCAGTTTACATCATAGTTACTTAGTGGTACTGTTCAGCTTAAACTTGCCAACTTAATCTGCCATAGCTCCACTGGCTGGAGACAAAAGTTTTAAGGCTGCTTTGAGTCAGCCACTTGGACATACAGGAGCCACGTAAATGTGCTTTAAGTACACTATATTTCTTTACATCTGCACTTTGTCTCTAGCTTAACAGGATCTGTGATGCTAGGCAGAGCCACTCCCGGTTCTGTGTCTGTTTCGCTTTCTGCTTCATTAAAGGTAGAGTTAACACAACAGTTAACAAAAAGGAAGCCGACTCCCTTCCCTGACGAGGGATCACCTTCTTGAATGAAGATAAGAGACTGCTTCTTATCTCTGAGGCTGTTAGGGAGAAGAAATTCACTGATGGTATTAAAAGTGCTTTGAGAGCCCCACAATGAAAGGTGCTCTGGATAGATATGCAAGGTATTATCTTTTCCTTTATGCCAGTGGGGTGAGAGGTCACATTTCCATTGGCTCTGAAAGCTTTTATTTTAGCTGGCTGTACTGTCTCTGTATTTTCTTTATACTGTGAAAAAAAATATATTTACAGGGTTTCTTTTGGCACATTCTGCTTTTTGTCCTTTCAGATTACTGCATACAATCCTCAATAGTAAGGAGCAAACCGTTATTCTAACAGTGAGTTGATGGAGAAGCTTTCCGTAAAAGAGATCTATGTAGTACAGCTGATCTTGTCAGCTATATGATTAGAAGGTAGACTACCTGTAAAACAATATATTCTAGGTGACTGAAATTCAAGACACAATTCTGTGAAGGGTCCTGATGGTGCCTCTATCCATAGAAGTCCATCAGAAATAGTTTATGAACCACCGTAGGTAAAACTCAGCCACTGATGGTGGGAGATAAGTGTCACTGCAGGAGAAAGTCTTTTTTCAGAAAGCTGTGAAAGGCCTTTTATAAACAAAGAATAACTCTCTGTCTTCGCTCCCTGTATCAGACAGCCTGGACTTTGAGTAAGAAGGGATTTCATTTTTTTATAGCATTGTTATTTGTGAAGAGGACTTGAAAGGAAACTGCTAGTGTCACACAAAACAGATTCTGGTCAACTACAATGTTTCACCTTCAATATATTCCAGCTTGGCCATGTCCCCACATACTATGTTTCTGAATTAGATTACAAACTCAATGGGACACAAGCCACATCTTATTATAATTGTATTTAGCTCTGAGCAAATTATCAAATCTCAGCAAATAACAGTTCTTGGAATACTGATTCCCATTGACAGTAACTGCAGAAACAGCCATCGTTGGATGCTCTAGCACTCATTTCTTTTCCTCCAAGGACAGGTTTTTCTCAGTAAATAAAAGATAAATCTCAGCACTGTTAAACTCTGCTCAGTTCCAGAGATTCCAGCTATACATTATCTGCCTTGTGTGCTGCATGACAGTAGGCTTCTGAAATAATTTACCAACAGCTTCTATCCAATACACAGCTGTCTGGTCTGTCAGGGAGGGCCCTGTTGTACCACAGACACTGTTCAGAGAATCACAGAATCATTAAGGTTGGAAAAGACCTCAAGGATCATCAAGCCCAACCGTCAACCCAACACCACCCAACCCACTAACCCATGTCCCGAAGCACCACATCGACACGTTTCTTGACCCCCTCCAGGGATGGTGACTCCACCACTGCCCTGGGCAGCCTGTTCCAGTGTTGCTGAGGTGGAAACATTCTTTTACATTCCCCATACCGGACTAAGATTTCTCTTTCTGCCTGTACACCACAGTTTTAAAAGTAGCAGTACTGCTGGGACTGTGCCTGGTGAATCTAACTGTTCCTTTAGAATTATTCCCCCATTGCAGGGGCCATAAAAGTCAAAACTTGTGCCTAGTTTTTCAGTTGTACCTGCAGCTGACAGTTGAAAGAGCAGCCTGACTTGCCTTCTTCCTCCTAAGCTCCCTATTGCTAGCAGCACTGTAAAACACGGTGACAAGCAGTGGCTCTGGAGAGCAGAGTGCCCTTTTCCAACCTGCAGAGGCACAAGAAACAAGTTGTCATGCTTCACTATGCTGAGAACAGCCTGTAGAAAGAAACAGAATTTGCACATTTCATAGACTCACACAATGGTTTGGGTGGAAGAGACTTTTAAAGATCATCGAGTTCCACCCCCCTGCCATGGGCAGGGACCCCTCCCACTAGCCCAGGTTGCCCAAAGCCTCATCCAGCCTGGCCTTGAACCCCTCCAGGGATGGGGCATCCACAGCTTCTCTGGGCAACCTGGGCCACTGCCTCACCACCCGCACAGTGAAAAATTTCTTCCTTCTATATTTGAGACAGATTTTTCCTTGTATCTGCCTTACATCATTGTGACCCTCCCTTCTGACAGATTGACAGCTTTCAGTATAGAATGTCTGTATGGCATCCTCCTTTCCTTCAGCATAAACTAGCATTTGTGCAGGGTTATGGATAAGCCTTATTTTTTTTTTCCCATGGAAGTGAAAAAATTGCTGTTGTAGATTAACTTTTACTTTAGCACTTTTTTATTTCCCGTAATTCAGAAAGAATAATGTAGTAGTTTGCAGAAATGGTCAGGTGGCACAGTCAAAACTACTTAAAAATCACTTTTTTCTCCTTCCCCAACAGTACATAAAACTCTTCCCCCCTCTAACTCTACTCTTTTGCATGGCTGCTACCTGTATCACTGTGTTAGGTATGTATATGTTCCCAGCCCACAAGAATGAAAATAAAAATTATAATTTGCAGAAATTTTGAAAAAAAACCCCAAAAAACCCAAACCAACCCAGCAACAAAACACAACATTTAAAAACTCACAGTATTATTGCTTAATACTTTCCACAAGTACCTTCTGGAATCCTTGCAGTGTCACCACTCATTTTTATGTATTAAATCCCAGTAACTGCTACATTATGACATTTCTAAACTTGATTAAACTTTGCTTTCTTTTGGCAGATTTGCAGCTTGATGCGAGGTGGAATAGCTGAGAGGGGAGGGGTGAGAGTAGGACATCGTATTATTGAGATCAATGGACAAAGTGTTGTTGCTACTGCTCATGAGAAGATAGTACAAGCCTTGTCTAATTCAGTGGGAGAGGTAAGAAACAATGAAATACTTTATCAAGGAAAGAATATATTTTTCAGTTGAAAAGAGCGTCTTAACATAGTATTAAAACCACCACCACAGAATACTGGAGTTGAGCACTAATAACAAACAATTAACAGAACATTTTTTGAACAATTAGATGCACATTCAGTGCATTTTTCCACTTATTTTCAAGAGTTCCCCTGGCATGATTCTGAACTTTCAGCCTACTGTTTGAATTAAACCAATCAATTAAGGGAAGAAATCACACAAGCATGTTAGCTATGAAAGTGTTTCTCAGCTTATCACTACAGCATCTGCCATAGAAATAAATTACTATTTGAAGAGCTGAGAGATTCAAACTGATACGTGTTTTAGTCATTTTATTCCCACTGAACATTTCCAGCTTACTTTGGGAATAAGTTAAGACATGTCTCTCCAGTCTTTTTAGAGAAATCAGCAATGAATGAACATCACCCAGTTTATCAAAATCCCTACTGAATTTAGGGGTAGTATGATACACAACCCTGGCCGGATCTTCCGCTAGTTCCTTTGCCAGAAATCAAAGATAACTTGTTATCCTGTGGAAAATTATACTTGAAAAATAATACATATTATGTGCATGCTGGCAGGATCAAAGCTGTGGATGTCAATGTAACTCCGTGCCTTTATGGTACCTCTTTGCTGCATAACATCTCACTAAACATGTGAGGACAGTATGAGGCTTTTTTTTCAGCATGAAGATATCAAGGCAGCGTATGGCTGGTGAGGGTCCGCATTACCAGTTAGTAAAGTTTACCTTCCTTCCTCTTGCATTGTCTGACAGGTGATTCCAGCCATTACTACATTTCTGATACAACCCTGATTACCTGATGCCCTTACTCCTGTTAGTCTGTAAAATTCCTCTGGCACTTATCACAGTACTCCTTGTAGAAAGAACGTCAATACACTAGCCATGAGAGAACCTGTTCCACCAAACTCTTGACTGGCATTTAAATATCAGGTAATAAAGTCCAAGTTTTGTGTTCAGAGAGTCATACTGCAGTTAGAAGAAAATATGTACAAATGACAGTCCCCCAGGGAAGGAAGACAGATAGAAGAAAAAGCTAGGTTCAGCTAACACCAGAACAGAATGAATTTTCAGAAAGGTTTGTGCTGCTTCTTTTGTAAGGGCTGTCATTGGAGTAGAGTATAAAATACAAAGTGTTTAGGTGTCTTTTTAGCTATATGATGTCACATCCTGTCATTGTCATTTAAAAAAACCAAGCACGCAAAAAAGGCAAAGACAGCAAACCAGCTTGTTAGAACCAGAGAAGGTTGAACTAGAACGTCTGCTAATATTCACATCTTTAGAGACGAAGAGAATAAATGCACTTACACCCCAGGGAGAGACAGATTGCTCCTTATGGATTATTTTAAACTAGTAACAATTCTGGTAATTTCTGTGTAATCCATTGACAGATTCACATGAAGACTATGCCAGCTGCCATGTTCAGGCTTCTGACTGGACAAGAGACACCACTGTACATCTAGCGTGCAACTTTCTTGCAGCAAAATAACTAAATGATTCCATCAAAGCTGAAGCCCTCATAGCTGAAGAGAATTTTGTATTTTGTATGAATTAAAGGCTCTGAAGCTGACCCAAGGACTCCGAAACAAGGAACAGACAGGTGTCTCTGCCTTGTCTCTCCTTCCTTTTAATTTCTTTGCCAAAAAGTGATAAGAAGGATGGTCAAGGACAATAATCACTGAAAAAAAATCTTTGTAAAACATTTAAGTATTTTTCAACATCTTCTGAACTCTTTTCTCATACGACTTAAAACATATTTATTTGTAACCTTTATGTGGAGTGATGTATGTGTGTGTCTGTCTTGTTTGATAACACGGTGAATGTGACTATTTGATGAATGAGACTGCAGGAAATGGCAAAGAAAAGCAATTAAAGTTATGGCTGCCTCAAGTTAAAAAAAAAAATCCAGTCCCATAAAGTGGTCAAATACTGATGGCTTTGCAGAATTTCAAAACTGGTGCCAAATAGATGATATTTCAGTGTAAAGGAATGTGGGCAGTTAAAACTTCAACATCTAATGTAAAGAAAACCATTGTAGTCCTTGATATTGTTATGACAAGTGTAACCTGTTTGGCAAGGTGTGAACATACACATGTAACAAGTGTTTCATATACGAAATAAAGAATAATTGCCACAAGTTTAAAATCATCATATTTATTTAGATATTTATTTTTAATGTTTGTGATTTTTATGATTTAACAGTTATTTCGTGGATAACTTATTGCACAGGTTGTGTAATGTATGTGTTGGGCTGGGGTTTTTTTTTCCTTTGATTTTTTGCATATTACCTTTTTGTTTATATTAGCTCAAAATGGGAAAGCCATGCTTACCTGTTTCTGTCTTTTAGAAACTATCTTACTCCTAAGGCAATGTGTTCTGAATGTAAATTGTTTTGACAAATAACCTAGCACCATCAGCAGTATGTGTGTAGATAAATAAACCTAGTAGTAAAGTTGTATTCCTCATGAGATAAATGTTAATTGGTGTAACTTTTTGTCCAGATATTATTTTTTTTTTGGCCAAGGCCTTGAGGAAAATACACTGTGACTTAAGAAGCCTTACCATGCAGTAACTAAAGAGCTTTAGAAGACTGTACTTCAAGGAGTAGTGTATTGCATGCAACTGACCTTAGGAAAGAATTAACCTACTATCACTAATAAATCTAAAATAATAAAGGAAGCTTGCTTATTTTGTTTGTTGTGTAAGTTTACATAATAAAAATACAAGAAGAAGATAATTCTTCATCTAAGTGCAGTTGCAGAGGTCACAGATTATTTTTTTTTTAAAGGAATGCATCTCTTGAATTAGGAATTTGTGTATCATTATTATCTTGAGAGTAGACGTTTCAGTTAGCATCCTTACCACTGGATGTCACTGTGGCTTCACACCAATACAGAAGCATGCTATAATTAAAATACATGGAAATGGATGATTCTGTAAAATTTAAGCTACCCATCTTCAGCTACATTCCCTTGTGACCTTGCCACAGAATGTCTGCCCAGCTCAGAGTGACACAAATGAAACCAAGTGCATGGTTAAACCTCAAACCTACAAATGAAACCTACAGGAGAGATGGGGAGGCACTCTGTATCAGGGGGTGTAGTGAGAGGATGAGGGGTAATGGGTATAAGCTGAAAGAGGGGAGATTTAGACCAGACATTAGGAAGAAATTTTTCACTGTGCGGGGGCTGAGGCAGTGGCCCAGGGTGCCCAGAGCAGCTGTGGATGCCCCATCCCTGGAGGGGTTCAAGGCCAGGCTGGATGAGGCTTTGGGCAACCTGGGCTGGTGGGAGGGGTCCCTGCCCATGGTGGGGGGTGGCACTGGATGGTCTTTAAGGTCCCTTCCAACCCAAACCATTCTGTGATTCTATGACTCTATGACAAGCACTGCTGGAAAAAAAAAAAAAAAAATTAAAACCCTGAAACGTCAGCCTGTGGTAGGTTCTTTATGAGAACCTTTTGTTTAAGGCCTTCCCAGTTTCCTCTGAGAGAGCTCGGATGAAGCTGGAAGACGTTGCCGGCAAACCTGTGTTTATGCTGGTAATCAAATCAGTGTAAATGATATTTACTTTTTGATTTTTTTTTTTTAAGATCAATGTTAAATAAATCATAAACGCAGCAGATCCACAAGGACATGTTTTAGTAATACAATTGCAAAACTACTAATTGGAGTAACAATTCTTTTTTGAAAAAAATGTTCACAGCTCTGCTAGAGAAAAATTCATCTTACTTCCTATCAGTTGGTGTTCATAAAAAGTTTGCAAAATCTGCTTTTTGGAATTGCAAAAGTTCAAAGACTTTCCCTAATGCATCTTTTGGTCACAGTTCGCAGAGTACTTAAATGTCAGTTTTTCAATAGCATACGTTACTCCATTAATAAACTCAAGAGCATTCAGAACAAAGCAAAAATAAACCACACTGCAGCCTTTACTATCATTTAAAAGGGGAACATATTGGGGGAGCAGGGGAGTAGGGGAGCAGTTGTAACAGGACAGATTAATTAGCCTGTTGTGAAAGACACTGGAAAAATGGATTAGAAGCACTCTGTGTGCATAGGAATCATCTTTACATTTCTATCCAAATCAGTTATTGAAAAAAACCAAAAGTCCAGAAATACTTTTTATTAAAACACTGATCATAGTTAAAACACTTTGAGGTACATTAAATAAATACAACTTCTAAGTTGTACAGCCAGTCTCTGGTGGTTTTGCAATGGTTTTCTAGAAATGCTAGGCAGCATCCGCAGCATATCTGTAGTACAGTGAAGTAAACATATTTCTGGTTGGGAAAACATTTGTAATGACTTTACTAATAAATCAGTTAAAATTTAGCAAAAATCAGGGCTGAAATTTACATTCAGAAAAACAAGCCTTCTCCTCCTGCTGTTGGAATTCCAAAGAAAGACACTTTTTCCTTTTTTAAGTCATCCACTAGTTTTTCTCCCAGTCCTGGTTTCTTCCTGAATTCTCTTTGCTGGAATCACATACCTGCAAATATTATCAAAGGATGGTCTCCCGGCAAACTCCAATTAAACTGTGAGGCCTGTCCCGCTCTAAACTGCAAATGATATGGGACCTGTGTAAGAAGGCAAGCGGAGAGCTCAGAGCTCCACAGCTCTGAAGATGAAGATCTTCCTGAAGTTGCTTTCTAGAGGTACTCACATTCTGCTGGGAACTCGTAATCACCTGTTTAAAAGGGCAGGAATGGGGAAGGAGAAATAGGGAAAACAGGGTAAGAAATATTTTCATTTAAAACGTTCGGTCCCTGAATATTACTTTATTTAAGTTATCTAATAATGGAATGCTCCCAGAGATGTGTGGCTCTGCAGCCGTCCAGAGACTCTCCCACTGCTCCTGTTCCTACAACCGGTCAGGGCTGAGTAGTGGCTACTGGAAGGCACGCTCAGGCTGGAAAGGCATCATACCTGTACTGTAGTGTTGAATCAACCGAGGCGCAAAGAAGTGTTTGTTTCTCTCTATACAAATGAAAAGGAAACCTGTGGAAAAGGCATCAGCTCTGCCTTATAATTGTTTGGAGCAATTGGAACTCATCTGTTCCTTTTAGGAGAAAGAGATGCTTCACTAGCTTTGCTGAGGTTGGAAGAGAACTAAAATCTTGCAAGCGCGGTAAACAAACATTTGGGTGTTAATAGAACTGCCAGGCTGCTTCACAAATCTGAATTATACAGCTGTTTTACCAAAAATTTTGTGGCTCCTTGAGGAGATTGCTGGGATGCCTTGGACTTTCACTAATTATTAATTGTTTTTGTCTGGAAAAAAAAACACCTAATAAAATTATTTCTTTAATGTGAAAAAACCAGATATCTCCCTGGATCTAAGAAATACAGAAAGAATAAGAACTGGCCATTGGTTTCTGGTCTTAAGATCTACGTAAACACTCAACTTTTCTTATACTGTTGGGTTTTCAGAGAAACTATGGTTTTTTCGTTTAAAGAAAATTGTTTTCAGCTTTCTAAACCTGAGGATTTAGTGACCTATAAATTTTGTAAAGCACTAAAAGTGTTAAAATTTAATTCCACACTGACACTGTATTGAGTATGTCATGATAGTACTGCTTTTCTCCCTAGGCTGACTACAAAGGTAACCGATACAGTGCTACTTCTTTGTTCTACTTAATAGGTAGCAAAAAACAATCTTGCAGTGAGCTTTATTAAATGTTTCCTGCTGCACACCAAACTATCTCATATGCTGTTAAGTGTTATTACATCTTATTTTCAATACTCACTCAGGGTTGAGCAGACTAATACCATAGAAACGACAATATCTGGGAAGGAGGGGAACCAACTCCCGAGTGTGTATCCTTAATGGTCCACCCAGCGCTGTGGAAGCCCTACAGGCAGCCTGGATGTGGTTAGTCAGCGCTAAGAGCATTCTGCTTTTCACATCTGACATAGAAAACCAACTTCATTTCCACAGCTATCATTCCGGTAACAGTACTAACAAGAAGCAACTCATCACCTTTCTTCATGCAAAAAAGATTTATTATTAAACATGCATTAGGTAAGAAAAGTTGCTGCCACTCCTAATGCCCTCATTTTCTAGGATTCCTTCCAACCATTGTGTCTGTTTTATTCTCACACAAGGTGAGAGGATACATTATTCCTTCATTTGGAAAAAGCACAATTTCTCAATTCTTTTTCTTAAAAAGAGCAAGGGTCATTATCAATCTTCTAGCCAGAAGTCAGGGTAACTGCACTGTTCTGTTTTGATACGATTGTGGCCCTACTTGTCTATTACCCCATTTTTTTCAGCTAGTAGCTTCTGCTGTACACATACATTTGCCTGAAAAAACAATGGAACCAAGTCAGGTCTGTGTATCGCCATATATAAACACAAATTCATGTATGGAACAGTCACAGGTGCAGAAAGAGCTTGAAAGTAAGAGAGGATGTTTACTGACGTGTACATATCAGTTCCCTATAGATCTTCAGGGATATGATTGGGTCCAGCTGAAGAATTTGAAATACATTTGAGTGCTTCAGTATAAAATGCATTGCTGCCCAATAAATATTAGCTATTTCTTAGTAAAGCCATGTCACTATAGAAGAACTTTTGTCTGAAGTACTTAAAACTGTAAAAACATTTAAATGAGCTATGTGTCTGTCACAGTTGAACAAATCTCTAGAGCATAAATGGCCTACCTGGTCTATAATATTGGCACTGAAGATGGCTTCTTCCATGTGTCTCTCATCAGATTTGATTACTGACCGTATGCTGTTCACTACATGACGTACTTCTGGAGGAAGATTACAGTTTGAATGTTCCAAAAATTTTGCCACTAAAATTTTTGTGTCTTTATAGGCCTTAAGGTCCACTAAAGAGTGTGGTCGCTCTTTTGAGACTGGATGGAAAGCCTTTGGCTTTAGGTGTAGATCCATTCTCCTTGTATCCCTCTGTTTTCCAGTTGGTAGGAAACTGCTCAAAAAATGCTGACAAGCAGAGGCAGCCATATGAGAACCAGAAACAGGAACTAAAAAAGGGGGGGGAAGAATATCTTTAAAGTAATAGTTGAAAAAAAAAAAAAAAAAAGAAAGAAAAAAGGCAAAACAAATATTGTCACAAAAGTTTTTACTTTGTCATAAAATGTCTGTTTTGTCTTAAGAATAACAAAAACCATGCAATCAAGGAAACATTGCAAAATGGGTAATTTAACTGGGGGTCAAGAGTAAGACTCTTTCTCATGGCCAAGCAGGACTACATTTAGGATGAGTGGGTGGGTAATGAAATATTTCATAAATCACAGACATTTTTGTTACCTCCATTTTCAGGGACTTCAGCTGACATTCATGTTAAGGGGAAACACCAGCTACTCACTGTGTCATATGGAGCTTGGAACAGTGTGGGCCTGCACCTGCCCCCAGCGCCTCCCCTCCCAAACCACCCCTAAGGATAAAGTTCCCCTCGTTTCTAGGCCTCAAAAATTCTAAGCAGAATTTTTTCTGCTATCTTTCATACAAGAAAGATAATAAGAAGTACAGTGAAAGCAAAAATGCTAACCTAAACCAGAAGACTTCATTCGCAGCATTTATTTTTGCTCCAAGGCTGGTTCCATCAGCACTCTACATCATATATGTACACTAATAGTAACTGATTTTTCTGCTCAAAATTTTCTAGAGCTTGTTTCTCATTATTTTTAACACAAAAGAAGGAAACCCATATGATCCTGCTTTAGGAAACGGATGCTCACCTGTTGCAGGAGATAATCCTGCATCTTGATGCCGGCTACATAGCGAAGTCCAGGCACAATTATCACCTTTCAACAAAGAGAAAGAGACCAAAAGAGCACAATCAATCGCTGCTATCCTCTGACCAAAGCAAGGAAAAATACTTTGGAATCTTTCATTATCTCCTTTACAGAATGAAACTACTCAGAAGAAATACTACTTTCAAGATGTCTATTCATACAGAGAAGCTACTATACACAGAAATACCCTGTAAGATGTTAAAAAAATACAAACAGATCCAAGTTCCTGCTTGATGGTCTCTTGTTATCCAGCTATCAATCCCTAAATATTTCAGACCCTATTTTCTGGCAGGGGCAGACCTCCTGTATTTCCTGGAGAAATTTATAGACTTTCCTGTATTTCCTTGGCAGACAGAGTTTATCTTAAAAAAAAAAAAAGGGGGGGAAAACCAAGAAAGATTAATCTATCTTATTTCTATAAGCCCATCATTTTATTCATTATTTCTACCTCCTTTTTTTACAGATTCTCATTCTTTGCAGGACAAATGCTATCCACCACTCATTACATTACTGTCTAGGTGAGCACCATGGTTACTGATGAGCCCCTCTATAACACGTGGTTCCAGAGCACCTACAAACAGCCCTGCACATAGCTGCCTTCCAGTGACCGATTTTCTGGGATGCCAGCCCAAGGATCCGTGGGGATGGGATCACACTATACAATAATTACGAGTGCACTCTTTTTGATTTCAAGCTTGTAACAGCCAAGACGGAATAAACCCTCACATTCATGCTAAGGCTGTTTTACAACTGTTTCCGAGACTGAACTTTGAACTTCTAGGTAGATTAGAAGAGGTTTTCTTCCATAACTTCAGGGAAAGTGTATAATGAAAAGCTGGTATAATCCTCTCTGGTGGAGTGAATAATTAAATGAAGGAAAACTAATGTAGATGCTACAAATGTAGAAAATCTGTAAGAAATTAAGACAGACAGCTTCTATTCTGTCTTTAATTTGCTTTATTATGCTACAGTGCTGCAATACGTGAATCATGGCATGCTTATTAGGAGGAGACATGTCAGAGGTTCTGTCTTCCCATCCATTATTTTACTGCTTAATGTACTTGCAGCACAGTCAAAACTACACCACTAGACATTCTCCTGAATTATCTGGAACACAGACACTACAGTAAACGCTGAGACACTTAACTGATATAGCGATATAGTCTATCATATTTGGTTATAAATTAATTTACTGTAGCAAACATCAGACAAAAAGATGCAAACTACTAATTTATAAGTAATTTTTTTTTAAGAGTGGGCTATTTTTTACAGAGATTATACATGAACCCACCATACTTACATTGTCCAGGGACTACCCAGTGACTATAACAGCACCTTTTAAACAAACTTTATAATTTCTCTACTGGAATCGCAGATATTTCAAAATAAACAAACACGCTTACTTTCAGCATTACAGGATTAATGAGACAATTATTGACAATACATACCATAAAGACCCCTTGAAAATAAGGAGGTGATTGGTGACAGCCAAAATGGCTTCACTAAGGGCAAACGGTGCCTGAAAAATTTGGTGGCCTTCTACG